AAATGAACAGAAAAAATGTATCTGGTATTTATTTGCATAAGTTTCCGTCACATGCAGTTACAGGCAGCAGCTAAATAAACAGCAATTTTCTCAGCATTGATCAAATAAATAGAAATGAATAAATCAGGAGCAAAAGTTGGTCTGAGAGAAAAGCTTTGAATAACCAAAGCTGTCAGCCTGGCTCACCTTGACATTTGGCTTCCTCGTCGAGAACCCTCGGTACCATCCTGAAAGAAAACACAAACAGCAGTGACTAAGACTGATGAACAAACACGGAGATGGTGAAGAGTGAAGAGTGGCCATGACTCAGCAGCCTGAGGGAACGTGCAGAGTGACTTTGACTTTAGCATTTTCCAACACAGATCTTTGTTCAAGAAATTCTGTCTTACAGGAAGTGTTTTAATGGAAATATACAGCTAACTAAAAAATGAAGGTAATGGTAAAACTTTAAATTCCACCATTAACAGTTTATGGTTCTCAGCACTACAGCATAACACACATGATACGAACTTATTACATAGTAGTAATATGTAGTTATTGCCCATAACATGGGTCTATTCGCCCATACACATCCAAACGTTTCACACAAAATAATAAAAGAGGTTGGCCTCCAGTTAATTCACATTTTAAGAAAAGCAAGAATCAAACTTGTAGTTTGACTCTGCAGGTTTAGTATGGATGGAAAAGGATCGTGCAAATCTCAAGTCCTCATTCAGTCAAAGCCTTTTTTAGAAGTCAGGTTTGTTATTCAGCTGCCATCTTGGCAGTACTTATGGGCCATCATCACATAGAGAGCCATAACATGAACTTTACTGGTACTGGGGCATTAACTGCATAACCATTTACAAAATAACTGAGAAATACGTGAAAAACTTTACCACAAAAAAATCCCCCAACCCTCCCGTACCCGATGTTATTCTGTCCGATGGCTTCATTTATGGTTCAGTACAGAGTGTCAGTACAATCATCCCACCAGAGCAAAGAGGAAAGGCCGTGCAGCACATAGAGAATATAGGTCTACCTGCAGCACATTTAAACCTCTGTAGTACAAACGTAATAACATGATTGGCTTTTTGGGGGAAAACAGAACATTTTGATTTAGTGTCTTTGATTTAGTGTAGCCACAGTAGCCACGGACACAAATGTGCAGACTGAAGGTCTTCAGCTGATGTGTCCACACGTCAGCTGATGCTTCTGAATGTTCCTGACAGTCAGTCAGAGACTCTGACAGACTGCTGTGAAGGACAGATGTGGTTCACTGCGCTCAGCTGTGTGTGTGGATGTGTGTGCTGTGGAGTCTTTGAAAGGACTTTCATGAGAAGTTCTGACAATAAAGTCGAATATCTGCTGAATCTATTATACACACAAACCTGTTCACACTGAACGAGTTTTACCCCTGAAGGCCTCGAGTCATTCGTGCTAACTGTTGATGTCGTCCATGAACTTAAGCCTGTGTGAATGTGCTCGGATCATAACTTCTAAAATAAAAATTCCCCTGCAAAGTGATACACCCTATGAAAACATCAGAACCATACAGTATCTCTGTCATTTCAGCCTTTTTGTCTGCAAAATGCAAATGCTGGCTGGGCAATTTGGTGCAAAAGGCTTTTGCTGCTGTACTGGATGGAAATCTAATGTGGAGAATCGAGATCCCAAGTACAGAATAGAATAGAATAGAATAGAATAATCCTTTAATTGTCCCACAAGGGGAGATTTGGTACAGGATGAGATCTCATGTGCAGGACCAGCCCGTTCTCACTCCCGAGGCGTAACATGGTGACGTTTTGTCACGTCCCGCGGCGTTCCTGAGGAGCGCGAAAGGAGACCTTCCGCGTTGTTATGGTATGCGCCGGGTTATGAATGAAATCCAGTGGAATGACGCTCCCGCGGTAATAGACGTTCCAGCCCTGTATTCCAGCCCTAAACCTAACCTTATCC